AATATAATATAATTATTTGAATTTAGTTAGCCTATTAAAGGTGTCTGGGTAAAGTAGATTGAGTCCAGTTGGGATTTATTTCTCATCGATGGCTCTTCCTTCGGGCCTGTGATTAGCCCGTAACAGGGTGTGTCTCAATAGAAGATCTTGTATTATGTAATCTTAAAGTAGACAGAAAGCAAGCAGATATAATCTAATATTAATATTATAATAATGAACTACTCGATACCGCTTCTGAATAAAGTTGTGTAGAAAAAAAATAATCTTCAATGGCGAATTACCAGTACAGTACATTCATTGCCCATAATTGCTTATTTTGTTGTTTTAACTTCTCTGTTTTTCTATTTATTTTGTTTTATTTCTTGGTTAAAAGTCAAAATTGTTTAATTGTTGAATTGGTTCCAATTATCAATAGCATTTTCTATGGAAGCAATTTTTAAGTAAAGGGCATGACTATAAGTCTTCTTAGCTGATGCATGAAGGAGATGAAAATGAAAGAAGTGTTTGATACAGTATCTTCAGTAGCATTCGGTTGCAAAATAACTCTAGACTATATAGATATTTTCCTGGGATTTGAATGACTTATCTGGATTTGTGGAACACCAAAGATGGGAACATTATTACAAATCACTTAGGAAAAAATAGGAAATAAAGGATTAGGCCTAGGCCTTTTCGGAACAAGTAGAAGAGTCATCCGCCCGACCCCCGCCCCTTGGCATTTCCATTTTTAAGAAACATCTCCTTGCTTGTATCTTATTGACATTCAAAATTCATCTTTCAGGACATAACATTTAGGATCAATCATTGGAAAGCAGGTCCAAAAGGCCAGGTGATCTAACCGTGTCCCCGTCTCTAGGGCACATCCATTCTACTCATCGGAATCATTCTCCTGTAACCGCTGTTTCCAGTATTTTTCTCGTGACAGTTGTATTTTCAGGGTCATTTATATTACCTCGGGGTTACAATGCACGCAGGTAATCTGGAAATTATATCAATCGTTTAAACGGAGGAAGGTGATAATTAATTGAGATTACTTGTACAACACGTAACGAAGAACCATAAACAGACCATAGTATGTGTCTGTTTTGAGTTTGTGGATTTCCTTCCATAATCACCATGAAAATAATTAATCAACTACTCAAATAAATTGTTTCCTTCGGGATTCGAACCATAGACGTTCCCGGCCCTGTTCGGTTGCATTTAAACTGAGTTATGGTGAAGTAAAACACGTAAATGAAGGACCACAAACAACACATAGTAGAAGATGTTTTTGAATTTGTGGATTTCCTTTCCAATCACCATGGAGATAATTAACCAACTCCAATGGTTTGTTCTCTTTGAGATTTAAACCCTCTCTGTTCGGTTGCATTTTAACTGAGTTATGGTAAAGTCAATCTGGTACGGTTACCGTATTGAGGACGCGTTATGGTAATGGTAAACTAGAGGCCCACTACTACCAGTGCCCCTTTGACCATGGAGGTATGCATGGATGACAGAGATAATCCATTCTTTGAAAGGTTTGTGTATAGTCTGCGATCGACAAAAAAATAGATAGGCCTATCTATAAATTCCGTATGAAATAATATTAAATTCACGCGAATTTAACCTCCATACGTCTTCGTCTTTTTACATCATTTCCCTATTCAAATACAATATCATACGTCCATACGTTAACTAAAAGCAGTAAACACTACCTGTACGTTGAAGTACGTTCATGCTATAGAGAACGTTTGCTCAAGATCTCGGTGATGCTTTTCGGTAGTGTTGTCAAACGTTGCTATGCTATCTCTGGTATACGATGAATGATAAAACACTTGAAAACATGATCTATATAACAACTGCAATGACGTTGTCATCGGCGTATCAACTTTAAGTTTATTATAGTAGGCCTCTGTATCATTATTCATAACGGTGACAGATACAACGTTGGTAGAAGTCGCCAAATGTCGAAAGGTGAAGAAGACGAATCAAGACTATATCATTATACATTATTGTTATATTTGATGTATGCCGGTTGCCGTAATAATAATAATAATAATAATAATAATAATAATAATAATAATAATAATTAAGATTATGATGATGATGATAATATTAATATAATACTGTATTATTATTATTATTATTATTATTATTATTATTATTAGTATTATTATTATTATTAACTCCATTGAATTGTGTAAAAAATCGTATCAAATAACAAACAATAAAAATAGGCCTACAGTATTTATTGCATTGCTTTCAAATTTATATCCCATCATGCCGAATTAATAATAATAAAAATAAAATACAAATCGTAGGCCTATTTTTTAACAAATTCTGATTCTTATATTTTTTTATTAAAAATATAAAAAATGCAAATATATAGTTCTACAATAAATAAAATAAATGTATACAAGTCCATACACATCCATAACACCGGCCATTGCAGAATAAACTGGATTGAGAACTAATCAATATAGTTAAAGTTACATTTACAAGTCGATTTACATTGTATAAACCATATTAATAATAATAATAATAATAATAATAATAATAATAATAATAATAATAATAATAATAAATAACAGTGCGTCTGTAAGAAAATAGAGAAAAATAAGGCTACAGTCGGTAATAAACCTATATAAGAAGTTTCTATCAGACAACAGTATATGCCTGACAGTTTCCTGACTACATTGTACTGAGTCTTTTCGGTTTGCATCTCAACTCAAAAATGCGTAGGCCTGCGATAGACTTGAAGGCCGTTTTCGACTATTTTAATCGGTCATTGTTGTCATTTATAATAACTTCCACAGAGTTGTACTTGTCTGTCATTACATCACGTCACGTTGTTGTTATATACTTATTTTTGTTTTAAAGTTGAAATGGCTCTTCGGCTGTCAAAGCTAAAAAATAGGTCCATACTTAAACTTTCGTGGGTTTTGCTATTTTTACTGTGGCTAAAGTAGCATTATTACTTGGAATCAAGTCAATAATTGAATAAAGATGACTGACAATCAATCAATATCATTAATAAAGTATCGTATACAATACCGGTATCTGCACTAAATCAGTACATAAGGCTTTTGAGACTTCCACTCTTTATTATATAACAGTGGCCTATTTAGGAGATTAAAGTTGGTGGAGAAATTCCTGAAATATATTGGCAAATTATTTCACTAACCTAAAATTCCCTCTAAAACTGACAGCATTTCAAAAGGTTATGTAGCTTTTCAATCTCAAGGTAAAACCACTAATAAAAAAGAACATTTTAAATTATTGAGATGTGAAAATGTACATGGATAAATACAATAAAACTAACAATATGGGTGATATACTTGGTCGGCCTATCCCTTCAAACAAGGATTAAGACGATCTTTACCTTGGAATTAACCGAATACCGAATGATGAATTTTACAACCTTCAAACTTGACAATCTCTCCACTCCAGAAAAGAATATGCCTATATAATAAAGTACAGTAATTAAAATCGGTTAGCCTACCTGTCATATAAAGACAGTATATTCCAAGTACAAAAAATTCCTTTTTCAAAAATGAGTGACAATCCTTTTAAAAGCGATAAATCCGAACAGAGCAACAGATGTTTCGCACCGTGTTCCTTCTTGCCGCTCCGGAGTTCAACTATCGTCTGATTGGAAATTACCGCTGTACTGGAGCAGCAGACGATGAGTGCGACGTGAAATGTACGAGCACCGGAGCTTGTTGTCAATTTATATAGCCACTTACCACAAATCACCGATTGACAATTACAGACCGCATGCACTTCCTCAAGTCTCTTGAACTAGGCTACTCAAGAAAACCACTAAAAATACGACTATTTTTAGCTCTGGGATGTAAAAACTTAAATAGGTAAATACTATATTAACTATTAAACGGAGAGTGGACGGAAGAATAGCTTGGAAGCCGCCGTTACTGAAATATCATCTATTATTTATTGATCATATCGTTACTGGCTAGATGACTCAGAAACTAGGGTTTTTAATATACAAGGTGTTTCCTTATGGGCATTATTTACTATCTATTGATATGCTAATAACGAGTACGTTATGTAGGGTTGAACGAATATGAACAAAGAACGAATAAGAAAGCTGGAATGAATGACGATATGTTGAGCGTGGTACGAAACTTTGCTGGTGTTGTGCATTCTTCACTGACAAATGACAACGAAGTTCATTCTTATGTCGATGAACTCATTATCTTTTTACAGTATTATATTTTACTATTGGGCTTACGTTATTTATCACCGACGCACGAAGACACTCAACCATATCTGTTTATTGAGTAGGCCTATTGTTAAAAAAAAAACCCGTTTATTCTCCAACATCAACACATCTATCTATCTATCTGTGTACCTAGATATAAAATAGGCATAAGCGCAGATCTAACTCACAACACCATATATAAAGTTTAATTAGACCTATATCATTTATTGTGTTACCTCTTTTAAAAAAAAGCCGTATTACCTTTTAAAAACTTTTATTTTTATGAGAGAGCAGCTTAGCTCAGCCGGCAAAACTGTTTGTTTTAAAATATACGATAGTGCATAGTCTTTCGGATGTGTGACGTTTAAGCCGTTGGTCCCGTTGCAACACTGGCCTATGTACACGTTGATATATATATATATATATTCATTCACGCAAGGACAAAAACACCATTTTTAATATTATCATTTTTACCATTTTTTAATCTTTTCTCTTTTATTTTCAACACACCAATTGTAGTAATCTCACCACACTAATACACAAAAACTTAAATTACGCTTGATGAGTTTTATAACATTTTGTTATTGGGATATTCAACGATAAACGTGACATCAAATTAATTGGAAAAAAAAATTATTGTCTTAACAAAAATTGCAACGGAAAGAGAAAAATCACACATTTCTATATAAAATTTATAAAATTAATGACTTAAAAAATTATGACTAAATTAACTTCTTAGAATGCATTTATCTAGTAAATATATTACATGCACATAAAATATTTTAAAATTAAACAATTCATTTGTTGTAGAGAATTAGTAATGAATACTTCATACGTAAGAAACATCGGATTTGAATATTTTCTGTGCGAGTACTGTATTCCCATTGAAAAGTAAAAATCTGTCAGAGTTTGTCAAACACAAATAGACTTAAAATACAGTCTGTAGTAAAATCTGGCAAAAAACACCAAGCATTTGATTAAAATTATTAAAGTTAATTAAACACCAATGAGACTATACCCTTATTTTGTCTCTCTGATTGACACTTTTTTCTGCGAAAATCCTTAAATTGATAACCAGCCAATTTAAGCGACTTAATAATGCTTGTGTGATATATTTATGCATTTTTAATTAAGAGAGAAAAATATGTTTATTCTAATGCAGTTCGTCCTCCAAATCCAGACCACATATGGGACCTGAAAATTCGGTGTGGTTTCCACATAGGTTAGCTTAGCGATAATAGATTGAAGATTGTTATTTGGTTCTTTGAAAAAGTGGTCTCGAATTAGAGGAATTTCAGAAATAGAGGGATCGCGAATTGGAGGGTGCACTGTATTCGAAAGTTAATAACAATTTATAAAATGTTAGCTATAAAATGGTTGAAGCCACTCTTGACCGACGGTATACTTTATGATGCCTAAATCCATTGTTAACATTTGTCTCATTAGAAGTTGATAACAGAACTATTTTATCTTTTAACTACAGCACTTTTTAAATGGACCTTTTCTGGAGAGTAAATTAAACCATGGAGGAAATATATTCTCATCTTAATATATTTCCTCCACGATCAAACTTAACAACTGACCAATCACAACATCGCTAAGAATACGCACTTGTCCCACCACACACGCACGTGTTTACACTAGGTAGCTTTCGATTGCACGACGATGGTAGGACGTAGAACGTAATGACGTCACTAAAAATCATCTGCGCATGCGAGAACATTAAGGTCACCTCGTCCGAGTAGATTCTGGAACGCAATTTGGCCAAATCCCGTATGCAGGGAACGTAGGACGCCAGGTAGGACGGTAGAAAGCTCCCTAATATCTTTTTGTGGGACCTTAGCAACAATATCCAAGGGGCGGGGCTTCGCGGAAAGGCCCAATGAATTATTGACAAGTATTCATTATTTTACTACAGACGGTACGGTATACATTGAATAAAAGTACAATTGAAAGATGTGGTCATATGACAACTACTTGAAATGATATCTTCAATTAAAGCTGATAATAGTCAACTTAGTGTCTATCCACACTGTCAAGCTTTATATGACAAATATTTGCCCATATATGGACATAACAACATTACGATTTGAGACTGGTCAGCTTTTCACTTTAACCAAAATACTCCTTTAAGTAAGTTAAGCTCTGTTCACACCATGTTTTCAAATATCTGATGTCATATCACACCCATACATGGGCAAATCATGGGTACATGAAATTTGATAGTGTGGGCAGAACTTTAGTTATTTATAAACACATCTATCCTTGACATTCTCAGTTTTCATTAAGTTGAAGTCAAATTAAATGTTAATGACAAGTGACCAACACGTTACTGGAGTTTTTAACAGATATAAATAATAAACACAATTCATTATTCAATATCGCATTAAAAATGTATGTAGACCAAGTGAGTGCGAAGGGTACACACTTCCTACAGTTAGACCTGTGTTGTGTAAATATCTTGTGTAAATAACAGCCAACTATAAGGTATTCAATAAAAAGTGGCACAGAAACAGGGTAACAAAACAAACAACAAAGACAACCCAAGATGTACAACAACAAAAAAATACTTTCAACCCTGTTAAACTATACCCAGTGCAGGTCCATGACTCAATATGTATGTGTATATACATATACTTACAATTTTATATTGT